CGACGGAAAAATAAAGTAGCAGGAGTAATAAAGCAGTAAGAGCAGTAAAATAAGCCACAATAACAACAAAAGCCACTTGAGCAGCTTCAGATTAAGGCGCAGTCTCTACCAGAGAATTATCAAAAACCAAAAGAAACCAGTACAGTATTTACAACATTAGTTTTATTAAAGAGTTAACTTGTCTTAAAAAACATCGGCAACATGAGAGTTAAAAACCTTAGTAGAAAGATCAGCAAAAGCCACGATGTTAATTTTTCCGAAGAATCACGAAAGCTTCTTCTGGTAATTGCTCAGCCACCATATTCCCGCTCTCTTTCTTCTTGGATTTCAACGCAAACTTTCTCCTTTGTTCTCGCACGTTCTTTCCTTCTGTTTTTTCTGTTTCTTTCTGAGCGCTCCCATTTCATGCAGGTGATTGCAGCAGGTGCCAAGAGGGGGAGAGGCGGCGAGGTTGCCGGCAACATTGTTGGCAGAGCAATTGTCGCTTTGTTGTTGCTTTGGCAGTGCTTGTTGGAACTTGTTTTTGTTGGCAGGTTTGAGTACACTGAAACACAATATTTTCAATTAGTAAATATTAAGAAATAATATAATTTTGTAAAAGAAACAACTACTAGTTAATTTTAATATGTGAATTACTTTTAGTATGATTTGCGTAGTTATTTTGATATTAAATCTATCATAGTGTAGGTATAGGTGCTGCTTTTCTTTTTACTGATTTTGTTTTTGCTGTTGTTTCTGCTACTGGCGATGTTGTTGGTGGCATCGTCAGGTGCGTTGACAAGTGGAAATGCTTGCCCGTACATTGCTCTCATTGCGGCGACAAATATTTATACGGCCTGCCTGCCTGCCTTGCCTCTCTGAACCCCTCTCGACTCAGCCCTGTTTCCAGCGACATGCACCGCAAATAAATAAAATAAAATATAGTAGTACAAGGCACTAGACTCTAAAACAAAGTTATTATGTATTATGTAGATTAGAGTTAAAAGCAGGTCTTATAAATTCGGATTATTTATTCTTTAAAAAATGATAACTTATAATCTAGGGAAATTTTTATTCACTTTTTATTTCCCAATACAAAAGATCCACTGATGTACCCACTTTTCCCTAGATATTCTGACATACTTTTCCCCCTGACGGTACCTTCCTACTTTTGTTGCCAGTGTAAGCCCCCTTTCCGTGTCTTGTCCCCGTTTTTCTTGGACGTCTCACCCCCCGTTCCTGGTTTATTGTTTGCGTCGATTAATCAGCGCATTTAATATGCGGCATACGCACTGCAGCCACACAGCAAAGGCAAGGAAAAAACAAAAACAAAACAAAAACAGGGAAAAGGCAACCAGAAAAAGAGCAGAAAAAAATTACATACCCCAGGGAAGGTGTAGACCCCGGACCCGGAGCCAAAAGCTGGAGCCGGAGTTCAGGCCAAGCCAACTAACCTGTTGCTCTGCTCGGTTGCCCGGTTCCCTCTCGCACCGCTAAATGCGACGATAATGGTGATTATTGTTTTTCTCAGCCCGTTTTCGTTTTTCTACCCTCCTCCCCTTGTTTTTTTTTTTTTTTTTTTTTCGTTTAGCGCCTTTCCGCTTCCGTTTTGTAAATAATTTATTTTGAATTTCTCGCTGCCACATAATCATTTTTCGTATTTCGCTTTGTTTCACTTCCGTTGCAGAGTTTCTGGCGGCTGCATTTTCAAAAAATACATTTTAAAAACAATAATTAGCATTTTCCTGAAAGCCCGTGGGCTTTTCAGGTAGAAACAGACCCCTTTTCAAGTTCTACAAAACTTTCTCTCTAAATGAAATACGATTTAAAGGAAACTTAAGCAACATTTGCATCATTTTATACGCCTGAATCGTGATGATTTATTTAATTACTGCCTCTGTTTTTTTTATTTCAATTATTTTAACACAATCTCCTTTCAAATGTCGTAAGCGAAAATGTATAAAATTTAGCAATTACAGCACGTGGGATCCATGGATTAGCCTCTATAATTGTTGACTGGCGCCCGGGGGTTGTGCAATGTGATTACAGCAATTACTAAAAAAAAATACGACCAACCAAACTACCTATGAGAATAAACCCTTTGTTAGGTCAGGCAATACGAGAACCCAACCTCAATTCCCGTCAACTTGGGGTTTATCAGTTTTCTGCTTAAAAACCACAACGAATTTGTTGTTCGGCCGACCATTAACCGATAACACTAGGTACTGGGTAGGGCAATGACAGAGCTACTTGGAGACTAAGAAGGTTAAGGATTATATTTCTAACGAAAAAGCATAAAAAATAATATTAAGACTTCTTTAAAGGAATACGAACTAGGGTTAAATGTATTTAAATACGCGATAAAGAAAGACTGTTGATAATCAAACACAAAGCCTCAGCTTACAGACAATTGTTATGCTAATAATGCACTCAAAATCTCCATTTGTATATTTGAAAATATATTTCCTAAGCAAAAGCCTTTTATTTTCCTATTTGATTGAAGAATTTGCAGAGTGAAACCAAATCAATTTCAGAGCTCTCCTCTGAGCGTTGATCGAATGCATCACTCGATACGACAACGACGACGCCCCCTTTTGGGTTCGTGGAACTTCCCCCCAGCGCCCCAGCTCCTAATTTACAGTTGGCTGAATCTGAATCTTTTATGCAACAGACACAGAAATTGCAACAACAACAAATGCTAACAAAAAGCAAAGAGAAAATGAAACACAAATGCGACTAGCAACCGCAGGCAGCAGCAGCAGCATTCGCATTCGTTTTGTTTGCTAAAACTGCGTCACGTTGCAACTTTGACGGTAATGCCGCCGTCGCATCTCTCTGCTCTTGAGCTTTTCTGATTTTCTGCATTTCAACTGCTGCCTGCTGAGATTTGCGTAAACAAAATCGGTTTTATTTTTTTGTATTTTTCCCTCTTTAACCCCCTTTCTAGTGTTGTGTAACCCCCGCTGTTTTCAGGGGAGAACAACGAGGGACAAGTGATGTCAAAGCAATAGCAAAGTTTTCAGCTTGATGCTCACTCACAGAAATTATTAGTATTGAAGCCCTGGGGTTAAGTTGATGAATTAAATATTTAAAAAATATACAAAAGTAGTTCAATTTCAAATCTTTACAAACTTGGCACTTGACTCTATTCACAGTTTTCCAATTAAAGAATTCTTCAGGGGCTTAAGAGGTGTTTTCATATAACCAACCTGTTGCATATGAAAGGATGTTAAGCTAGCTGTGGCCACGTGAGCCTTGTGCAAGAGGAGCCATTATCGAATCTGGAGGAGGAGCAGCAGTCTGGGGCAACCTTCGATTTGACCTTCGCTGCCTCCGTCGTCGCTGCCTCTGACTTTTGCCTTCGAGGTGACCTCCATTGGCTGCTCGCCGCCTTTCCATTTCCATTTCAATTTCGTTTTTTTTAACATGAAGCTTGCTTGCTTTTATTTTTGCTTCATTTTGCATAATTTATTGCATTTAGTTTTCATTTCATTTACTGCTGCCGCTGCCTGAAGTTTGTGCCATAAATTTGTCCACCTCGGTCCACCTTCTCCTGCTCTTGTCCATGCTCTTCCATCGCGTGTGTCCCTAATTTCAGCTCTTTGATTGCCTCTCCCTCTTATACGCCTCGCGGATGGCCAGTTTTGTTTTTCCCAGGCTTGGGCCACGCCCACATGGCCCTTCCGGCTCCAGGAAGCCACCTTCTTGGTATACGTAATTGGCCTCAGAGTGCGTGGGTTTGGCGCCTGCTTCTGCTTCCGTGGATAGCTATTTTTGTGGCCTGGTTCCATTCATATCGAATGTCCTTTGACGTAAATTAATTAAGTTATGTGAATGTATACGTGCAGTGGCAGCAAAAGGGAAAGCAGAGGAGGTTGTTATGCTACTGAGCCGCCTCGGGCGGATGGCGGCTACTTAAATGCTTCTATTTTTAGTGGCCTAACTACGGGGAAGTCAGTGCAAAACAAAGTGGAAGAGGATGGATGGGTGGCCAGATGGCTTCTAGGGAACTCGCCATGTGTTATTGTCATGGAGATGTTGTGGAATCGCTTAGCAGCTCAAGGGGAAATATAACAAGAGGCCTTCCGAGTCCTTAATGAGGTTTTATTAAATTATTAAATGGAAATTAATTATTCATATCAAAGATATAGCCTAATATCATACAAACAATATTATAGAAAATAAATTGGAATACTTTTAGACAGGTTTTTTGAATTGCTGAGTTGTAATTTAATTATTAAGAAAATTAAGTCAAATTTTCTATACCTAATTGTTAGGCTTTCTGTCACAAGTTCACAAGGATTTTTTAGCTTTAATATTTCATAGCATACTTTATTTATTTATTTATTTTGCAAAGAGTAACTCCTTACAATTTTAAAATATTTTAAATTGATTTCAAATTCTTAACCATTTTCTTAATAATTATTCAATTTAAAGAAACTTATCCCATTATTTTAATATTTCTTATTAAGTTGATGAGCTTCTCCTTGAGCAGCTTCACCTTCCTTATTGTCTGGCCTGGTGTCTCCGCCACCTCCGTCCCATTATTCCCCCCTCTTGCCATTCCCTGCCCTGTCTGTCACCCGTTTTCTTAGTCACCAGTCCATTATTTTGTTGGCCAATTTCCCCCATAATGTTTTCCTCTTTTGGGCGCTTTGTTGGGGGCGTTGACAAGACGCAAATGCCGCTGGTGATGAGCTTGCAGAGACAGATAAAGATTCTATATATCAGCTATATATGTGCACATGACTGTGTACTGTGTCTGGGAATGAAAACGGGGAACTGCGTTCAGTTGCATTTCAACGACCAAGGTGGCGGGAATCGCCTGAAAAAGGTGAAATCATAAGGAAATTTTACACGCCACAAAGAAGCGGAAGAAAGGCAGATACACCAAGAACAATGATCTCCTTGGTGATAAGGAGATTACTTAGGAAAGGTAGAGGATATCCCTTGTCTTCAGCTGGAAAAGTTAACTCTGATCCTTGAATAAAGTCTGAAATCTTCACTTGTCTCCCATTCAGATTGCGATTGCGGCTGCGTAGACTCGTACAATTCCAGCCACGGCCCGCAGGACTCGTCAACAGCAGCAGCGGCAGCGGGAGCGGGATCTGGAGGATCGAGAGCTGGAGTGGGAACGGAAGCGGGAGCGGGCTCAGGACCAGACGCAATCAGCTTCAAGACGGCGCACACAAAGGTCGCCACCTCGGGGGGCCATGCCAACACGCAGCCCCCCAGCAAGAGGTCCAGCAGTGGAGCAGATGGCGACTATCAGCTGGTGCAGCACGAGGTCCTTTACTCCCTTTCGGCGGAGTATGAGGTGGGTTCCGATGAGTTCTTTTTCCTCAATAAGCAGAGCTTAAGCTTTTCTTTTCTCCTTAGGTGCTGGAGTTCTTGGGACGCGGCACCTTTGGCCAGGTGGTCAAGTGCTGGAAACGCGGCACCTCCGAAATCGTGGCCATCAAGATCCTGAAGAATCATCCCTCGTATGCGCGCCAAGGCCAGATCGAGGTCTCGATCCTCTCGCGGCTCAGCCAGGAAAATGCCGACGAGTTCAACTTTGTGCGGGCCTTCGAGTGTTTCCAGCACAAGAATCACACCTGCTTGGTTTTTGAGATGCTCGAGCAGAACCTCTATGACTTTCTCAAGCAGAACAAGTTCTCGCCGCTGCCCCTCAAGTACATAAGGCCCATCCTGGAGCAGGTGAGTGTCACATATTGAATCTCTTCACTGAAATTGTATAATTTATAAATATAATTATTCTTTTAATCCCAGGTATTGACGGCCCTGTTGAAGCTGAAGCAACTGGGCCTGATCCATGCCGATCTGAAGCCGGAGAACATCATGCTGGTTGACCCAGTGCGTCAACCGTACCGCGTCAAGGTGATTGACTTTGGCAGCGCCTCCCATGTCAGTAAGACGGTCTGCAACACGTACCTGCAGTCGCGCTACTACCGCGCCCCCGAAATCATCCTGGGCCTGCCCTTCTGCGAGGCCATCGACATGTGGTCGCTGGGCTGTGTGGTGGCGGAACTCTTCCTCGGCTGGCCCCTGTACCCGGGCAGCTCGGAGTTCGACCAGATCCGCTACATCTCGCAGACGCAGGGCTTGCCCACGGAGCACATGCTGAACAGCGCCTCCAAGACGTCCAAGTTCTTTTACCGCGACGTCGACTCCACGTATCCCTTCTGGCGGTTGAAGACCACCGAGGAGCACGAGGCGGAGACGAATACGAAAAGCAAGGAGGCGCGCAAGTACATCTTCAACTGTCTGGATGACATTGGTCAGGTGAATGTGCCCACGGATCTGGAGGGTGGTCAGCTGCTGGCGGAGAAGACAGACCGAAGGGAGTTCATTGATCTGCTGAAGCGCATGCTGACCATTGACCAAGAGCGCCGCCTGACGCCCGCCGAGGCGCTGAATCACTCGTTCACGCGCCTGACCCACCTGGTGGACTATGTGTACTGCAACAATGTCAAGGCCTCGGTCCAGATGATGGAGGTGTGCCGGCGGGGCGATTTCCACACGTAAGTATCCTTAATCCTTAAGGATAACAACCTTAAGGTTGTATGCTTTATTATTGTTTTCGATTTTCCCCGCAGAGTCCAGCCTGCCTCGACGCTGGTGACCAACTTTGTGCCCTCGAGCACCGAGAACATGACCTTCACCATCAACAACCAGCTGACCAGCCAGGTGCAGCGCCTCGTCCGCGACGGCCGGCCCTTGGCCTACGAGGGCCTGTACCAGATCTACAACGGACGCAGCGTGGCCAGGCAGTACCCGCAGGCGCGGACGGACAGCTTCCAGCACCAGCTGGTGTCGAACATTCTATGCCCGCCCTCCTACCAGGCCATGCCCAGTCCCACCAAGCATGTGGTTGTGGGCAGTGCCACCATGCAGCCACCGTTGCAGGTACCGCCGCAGCAGTATGTCAATGTCCCGGTGCCGGTGTCCATGGTGGAGCCCACCTCGGGTCAGCGGATGTTGCTGACCAACCGGGTGCAGGCCAGCGGTGTGGCCTGGCCGCAGACCGGCAGGCAAATGGCCTTGGTGCCGTCGTGGCCACAGCAGGCGCCCGCCCACTCGCTCATCGTGGATTCGACGCCGCTGTTCAACGTGGAGGAGATCTATCCGAAGCACCACCTCAACTTGCCACGCAACGATCTCAAGAAGGAGTCGCCGGCTCACCATCTAGCGTAAGTGTTCTATTAAAATTTGTGTCGAGGATAAGCCAATTTAATCCGTTTCCTTCCTCCTCCAGCAAGGGCAACTCATATCGTGCGCCGCGGCACGAGAAGAAGGAGCACCAGCAACTGTCGCCGGTGAAAAAGCGGGTGAAGGAGAGCTCGCCGCCGCATCAGCAGCGCTACCAACGCACCGCCCACGTCTCGCCGCAGTACCATGCGCACCACAATTGCAGTTATGGCAACGGGGGAGGAGGAGGAGGTGGTGGTGGCTACAGCGCCAGCGCGGGATCGGTGGTGGCCTCCTCGGCAGCCTCCGCCAGCAGTGAGTGCACAAATAATGGAATATCAATGCATATACCTTGTATACCAGCCTATATTCATCCCATTTTTATTCTTTTTCCCCCCGCAGACATTGTCAACGTTGGCTCTTCGAGCTCACACCATCACCATGCACCGGTGGCCCATGCCCAGCCCAGCTACAGCAGCTCCTCCTCGTCGGCCCATCACATTGTGAGCAACTGCAACGCCAACGGAGGCTATCCACAGCCGCCGGCCCACGCCCACCAGCAGCATCCGCATGCAGCGCAGCCCCATCCCCAGCAGAATCCCAGCCAGCATCCGCAGCAACAGTTGCCGCTGCCGCAGCATGTAAAGCAGCCGACGATCACCATTCACGACACGCCCTCGCCCACGGCCGTGATTACGATCTCCGACAGCGAGGACGAGGGCGGTGATGGTCTGGGAGTGGGAGGAGTGGGCCAGGTGCCGGTGGTCAAGCAGAGGGCGCATGCCCAGTCGCAGACGAGCAGCAGTTTGCTGCAGCAGCAGCAGCACGCGCCCAGCTCTAACTCCTCGTGCAGCAGGAGCAGCGCCCACCAGCAGACGCAACATCCGCAGCATCAGCAGCAGCAGCAGCAGATAACTTATGGTAATGCCCAGACCCAGAGCCACCAGAGCCACCTGGGAGCCAGCAGCACGGGTAGCCAGCATAGCAGTAGCCATAGCAGTAACAGTAGCCACAGTAGCAGTAGTCACCACCACCACCACCACCCTCATCATCTGAATCCGTCTCATCCGAATCCGCCTCATCAGCCAGCGAGTGGAAGTGGAATAGGATTGGGAACGGGAGCGGGAGCGGGAACGGGAGCGGGAACTGGCACGGGATCGGCAGCGGGAACGGGAACGCAGCTTCAGCAACAGCTCCAGCCACAGTCGCAGCCGCAGCCTCATACTCAGCCGGCGACGCATCCTCATTACCATGCCACGTCCACGTCCTCCTCCTCATCCACTTCTGCTTCCACTTCCAGTCACCATCAGCATCAGCATCACCCCCATCACCCAACCCCTTCCTCCTCCATGTCCTCATCCTCTCAGTATGGCGCCCCCGTCCCTGTCCCTGTCCTCTGCCCCAGTCTCTCCTCCCAATCTCAGTCGCATCTCAGTCGCCATAAGCAATCGCAGCACGTGCAGCTAGTAATTCCATGCGTAACCGTAGGTGACCACGATCCGGAGGATGCTCGCCGTCGTCATCATGCCGCCGCCGCAGCCGCCGTGGGAAGCCCCAAGCATCATCATACGCATCACCAGCACCAGCCGGCCTTGCAGCAACCTGCTCCTCCGCCGCAACAGCAGCAGCAACATCAGTATCAGCCGCAGCAGCAGCAGCCTCCACCCCAGCAGGTGCAGCCCAGCATTAAGTACGAGCCCGGTCAGTCGCAGAAGAAGCGCATCCTGGCCATGGCCCAGAGCGAGTGTGGCTACCAGCCGCAGGTGCCCAGCCAGCCGCCGTCCTCCGCCAGCTTGCCGCACATTCCCACAAAGCAGGAGCCGGCCGAGTTTTATCCAGATTACGCAGCGGCCGCTCCTCCGCCGCCACAGCAACAGCAGCAGCAGCTGGACACGAAGCGCTCGTCCTGGGCGCCCACCTCCTCGGCGGCTCCGCCTTTAGCCCATCCGAAAAGAGAGGCCCCATCGGCGGCACCCATCAGCTATGTGGCCCCGTCGGTGGCCCCACCGCTGGCCCACTCCAAGAGCAGCTCCGCCTCATCTTCGTCGTCGATCAGTGCGGCGGCTGCAGCAGCGGCTGCTGCAGCTGCGGCAGCAGCGGCCAGCGTGGGTCCACCTTCGTGGGGTGCTCCGCAAGTCTACCGGCAGCCATCGCAACCGCCGCCAGGCAGCGTGGCGCTAAGCGTGGGAGTTCAGCCGCCGCCAGTGGCTCCGCATCCGCACCACACGCACAGTCACAGCGGCCATCATCATCACCAGGCGGGCACACCGTTGGGCGGATCGCCGTCCTCGACAGCGGCGGCTGCCCTGCTGCAGCCGGATATCTACGGCCAGGGCGACATTTATCGCCGGCCCACGGTCTTTGTGTCGCAGGCGGCGCCCAGCTATGCGTACACCAATCGGGCAGTGGTGGCCCCACCGCCGGCTCACAACAGCTCCAGTCGTCAGGTGAGCTTGAAATTCCATAGAAAGGGTTGTTTTTATTACTTAAAATAATTTAAAATTGTATTTCCAACTCTATATTTTACTTGCCTTCCCCTCCAGGTGATACCATCGCACCCGCTACCGGCGCACATCCAGATACCCACCCAGTACAGCCAGTTTGGACCGCTCAGTCCTGCCCAGGTAGCAGCCAGCAAGCACGCGGCGCACTTTGCGCCCACCAACATATGGTATGGGGCTGAGTAGGCTGTGACCGAAGTGGGAGAGAGAGAAGGGGCGACGGGACGAGAGGAGAACCAAGAACCAGAACCAGAACCACCCAAGCACACGCACCACACCACCACCACCCACCAGTTCCCAGTTGTTCTAATCTTGAGCTAGAGCTAGAGAGCCCGGGTGACTGATTCAACGCTCGAGTGAGTCGAAAATGCCGGGATGCCGAGCCGAAATTGTAGCTTCTCTGTTTGAGGCCGAGGGCCAATGTTTTGTGCTAACGAAAGGTTTTTCTTTTTCCTACTCTCTGCCTTCACAGATCGTTTGTGGCCTCGGCCGAGGGAGTTGACCCGCCACCAGAGCACAGCCAAGAATTGCAGCAGCAGCTCCAACTGACCCAGTGCTGGTGGTTTATGCTGCTCATGCAGCAAACCATCATCCACAACACCAGTATGCTGAGCAGCGACACTGCAACAGCAGCAGGAGCAGCCACAGCAGCCACATCCTCCTCCACCTGCTCCTCCTCCGGAAGCAACCTTAAGCAGAACCCCAACCCCCCATAGAGTGCACTCGTCCCGCCAGTTCTCAGTTAGTTTTGTCTTTATTTTTTGCCGAGAAATCTTGTTTCGTTGGATTTCTCAGTAACTCACTCGTCTACACGACTATTAATTTTATTATCTTTTTTTTTTATAAATAATATTAATAAATGTACAGCGCTCTTACACGCAGCTGGGTGTAAAGTGCTCGGCCTAAAGATTTTGTAATGTGTGTGTAAAACTAGGCACATACACACACACACACCTAGCTTCACTTTCTATATATTGTATGTGCTAATCTAGAGGCATATATTCGAGTTGTCTTTCAGGCGTTTCATCTTAAAATGTGTGTTGTGTGTACTTTTATTGATAACTTGTGCATAATATTCTCGATATACCACACACACATATATATATCATACATGCATATATGTAATACTTACTATTATTAAACACTATATATCAAAAGAAGAGAAAACCTAACGCTAACAAGTAAGAGAAAGCTTTGAAATTCCGTAGACTTGGCAAGTACCTCAGAGAATCGAAAGAATCAATAGAAAATCGATTGCAAAGTGTAAGAAGTGATGGAAAAGATCGAAATAATCGATACGAAATTGATAAATGTATTGACATCAACAAACCAGAAAAAGTAAACAAGAATGTAATGCCTTTTACACAAAACAAAATGAGAACGAAAAAATTACAAAGTGGAGATACGGAGATAAAGATGAAGATGAAGATAAAGAGTTAAGAAGAAAGTGAGATAGTGAGAAAGAAGTCGTAGAAAACCACAAAAACAAATTGAATACCGCAAAAACCTTACTAGCAACCAACAAAAAGCAAATAATAATAGGTAAAAAACACACCCTAGGAGATATCAACAGAGTAACAAAGTAAAGCTAAACCTAACCATTACATAGTTCGTAGCTCATAGATATATACAAAATATATATATATATATATATAGAAAGGGAGATCCCAGAGGAAGCATCGTCAACGTTTTTTACACACTCGTAACCCACACCACACACTCATAGGAATAACCGCGAAAACAAATACAAAATATAAAAAATAAAGAATACAAACTACAATTAACAAATGACGATTCTAAATTACGTTAACGAGCAACAAACAAATAATTATAGGAAAAAACCTGTACATATATGCATGGATATTGCATAAATATTGATACTAGAGTGGAGAGCATAGTCCTCGATAGGAGGAGAGGACGAGAAGAGTTTCCCAACTGCTTGGTCAGTCGGCAGTTGTAGTTTTTAGATCCCCACACATAATCGTTTCTTTGTCTTTTAGTTAGGCTTTCGAGTCAAGGGAGACGCTTGGGAAAGTTTACTAAAGTACAAAAACCAAAAATCAAAAATAAGAAAGCAATCTAGCAGTAACACGGCAACAGAAAACCTTTTAAACTTTTACACATTTCCCCTTCTCGATTACAACAAACAAAAGCCTTTAATTAATTAATTAATAAATCCCTGGCCGTTGCTTTTTGTGTGTAAATATAGAATGCAATTTGGATATGTACAAACCTGGCTTACTTTACACACACGCCCCTTACATCCTATACCTAATATATATATATAAACTAAATCTTGTTAAATAGGTTTCCTAAAGTATTTCGTAGTTAGTCTTAAACTTGAACTTGTCGCTGCAACTAATTTCTTTCGTTCCCTTAGAGGGTGGCACTTCCTAAACTAAAAAAAGAAAAACAAAAACCAGATACTGATACTGATGATACGGCAGAGGAGTTCTATATAGAGTACCCACACGTGGACAGGATCATAGCATATAATTATTGTGATGTAGTTTTAACAAGCGAAGGGAAAGCGTTTTTTGTCAGATTAGAAATTACCTAAAACTATAATTAAATAAATATATACATAAAGCTAACCAATTGCGATACTGGCATCTAAATACGTTACTAAAAAGCAGTTTTTTTTAACATCAACATAAACATAACTTTTTAACAAAAGAATGGATAGGGAAAATCCCCAATTTTTGTAGAAGGAACAACCAGAAAAGAAAGGAAAAGAAATGAAAAAAAAATTTGGAAAGGAAAAGCATTAGACGTAATTAAGAAAACGTTAGTGTTGTGAATATATACGAGTAAAACAAGCAAACAAACAAGCTATAGCTAGAGCTAGAGCTAGATCTAGGTGTGGTTCGAGTACATTTATATTATAAATATATATTTTTTGTGTATAAACAATAAAAACGGCAAGCAGCAACAATTAACAGCAGATTAACATCGCCAGATTTAAGGATTCTTGTTTAAACTCGGTCTAGATAATAGAAAATAGACGTAGATGTTCGATTTTTTTATAGAAATTTTATGGACCATTCAACTAAAGTATATACTAAAAATAAGCATGGATATTTTGAATAAAAACAATTGTGTCAGCGGAAATGAGTTCTTCAGTCTGTGTTTCCGGTTTGTCTTTTTTTGCAAAGTTTCAATTATATATAAAAATGTATACAAATAAATGTACATGTCTTAATGCTAAACTTTTCTTCACTTTCTAACGAAGCGAGAAAGCAAAACAAGAATAAACGAAAGGAAGCAAAAAAAAGAAGGAAAAAAACAAATCAAGAACGCTTTAAATGTAACAAAAACGAAACGTTAATAGACTTATGACAAACAACAAATTAAATTTATATTAAACAAATTACATTTATATATTTAAAGAAAAGCAAAACAACAACAAATTACAACTTATATTAAAAAACAAAAAGCAACTCGCACTCAATACGTCGGAGGGAGCGCTAGAGATCCACACAAAACACTCAAATATACGTATATATTTAAAGGAGAAAAACGTTTTAACTGTGTAGCCTTAATATTTGTACTCGTCGTCCTATCGATTTCCAAAAAAAAAACAAAAACAAATCATAATTATGATAAATACGATACGATAACAATAAGTAGAGCCACAGCTAATGCTGATGATGATCGGTGTTTGCTACCATATATATATATATTTTCAGTGTACTTCGGATGATTTGCCTTTACTTTTCTATTTTTTAACACCCCTAGTTTTACCATTTACACTTACTCTTCATTTACCTTCGTGTTTTCCCCTTTTTTAATTGTAAAACAACATTATGTATAACGGAACACAACATAAATCATATGAATATTGCCTACTATTACCAAGATTTATAAATACATATATGCTTATATTTACTTATGTCCTACAACAAATATATATTATAAACAGATATATCGTAACTCAGTTTTTCGTTTGTTTTTATTTCGTTTACCCTTATTTTCCACTTTATCCCTGATTTATTTAGTAATGAAAGCTTATCAAAAGGCAGAAGGAGATGAACAACAACAACAAATACAACATATATCCCACCAAATTACAAAGGAGTAAATAATTTTAAAGTTTAAATACAATTAGTGAATGAACATGAATATTAATCACAAAGAGAACAGTCGATGAGGATACTTAGCCGCCAGTCAACAGCTTAAGTTTAAGTTTAGTGTGCAAAAAGAGGCTAGCTTCGACTAATTTAGACTTAGTTAAGGACCAACCAGGTTTCTGCAGATTATACATTGATTTCGCACATTTCCCCAGGCCACGACTTGAGCCACGAACCTCCAACCTCGAACACCCCCCACGAAGACGACCAACAATTGATGAGCTTTTACCGGAAAGCAATGATATTTTGTTTTGCATTTACCAAAACAGAGCCAGCGAGAGTCCTGTCGTCGTCATAAACTCAGAGCTAGAGCCCGACCCGAAAACCGAACCCAGATTGGATAGTGGGAATATTATTATAGAGGTGTTGACACAACAAGATTGATAAGAACCCGTCCATAATTAGATTTTTTTCGTTTGAGCTGGTCCTGAGAAGATCGAGATCGAGATCGATATCGAGATCGAGATCTAGGCAGCTATTAAAGCAGGGGGCCCCCTCTCAAACTTAACAACACTCGAACTTAGCATAATGATATCGGATAACGGATAACGGGAACTTAGTAGTACCAGTAATTACTTACGATATAGGCATAATCTTCGTGTTTCTTCTTCACTTGAAGAACTTTCTTCAAACTCTCTCTCTCTTTAAAAAACTCTCTTAACTAAAATTGTGGTTCGGATTGAAAAATTAGATGTTTTTAATACACACACACACACAAAGATAAATCTATGAATATATAAATATATGTATATGCGGATATATTTTATTAAATACGAAATTATTTCCTAGAAGATGAAATACGAATAAGAGAAGAAACGATAACCAAAATGTTGATGTGTGAAATTTATAAGACTAGCATATTTCCTACCTAAAGAAAACCAAAACAAAACAATATACGTTATATTATATATACAAGAAATATGATAAATAGCAGCTAGAGCTGAGATCGTACTCATAGACATACATATACACGCATAGGCATATTAAGCTCTATCTGACGGTAAAGATATTGAATTTAAAAGAGATTGTACCTTTTTGCTGATTTGGAAACAAGCGAGAAATGAAAAAATTGAGAAATTAAGAAAGCCAGAGAGCAGACAGATACTTCTTGTAGTCATTATTGGGTGATGCAAACGTAATCGAAACAATATATGTTTTAATAGATCCAGAGCAGAGAGCACTTTTATGGGATTTGCTTTTTATAAACGACACATAAGATATATAGAGGTATAGAGGTTACATACTCTCATAAGCGATGCAAGCCGCAGTTTCAGATTAAAGAATTTAAATATTTTTATATACGACTCGAGTAGAGAGACTACAGATATATCCGTATACACAGATGTACGTATAGCGAAAATAGCGAGTAGAGGCCAGGCTTTGAAGGAGTTAAACCAAAGAAGGATAATCAAAACACAGCGCACACACGAAGACACACTCCACATGACATCCATTAACACAGCTAGAATATAGGGCTTGTTTTGGTGTGGGCACCAAGTCATATTCATATGTACGAGCCTCCGACCCCTAGCTCCCGTAGGCACCTACCGACCTACCTACCTACCTAATAGTACGATTATGATTACGTCGAATCCCCGACCTCAAGGGATCCCTGGGTTAGACAACAACGAATTGCCGAATTGAGAGACTCCTGTCCCAAGAATGCAACCCGCAACAAATTAATGTTTTCGATGGCCAACGAAGAGATTTGACCTTTGACCCGTAGTCTAGTCGTGAACGCTTGTACTCGTGTCGTCAAAGTCAGCTCATAAACCACACTTTACCAATTATTCACAAACACCACACTTTGAACACAACCACTACAGAAGGAAGTATTCACCACAGATTCACCCACGACTTCACAAAGAACAAGAAACACTTTATTTAAAGATTCACCAACAATTCTATCAGTAAAACCATACAACTCACCAACACCTTATTCAAAACTACCCAAGTACTCACTTACACTCGACCACACCTATCTTTGATCGTAATTAATCGACTTTTTTGTATTCTACTCGTATCTCTATGAATGTGTACTGAATGTTTTTACATGGTGTCCTCTCTTATTTAGTCGTAAGGATATCCGATATCGCAGTCGCAGGTTAATGGTTATTATAGCGGAAGTGTGGAGCGGAAATGAAATTGAAACTTATATCAAAAACCAAGCACACCGATACATTTAGCATTGTACTTGATAAGAGCTAACGGATACTAGCGTTTAATCAAAATATTGAATATATATCTCCTCCATGTCGTAAACGGATATGCGTACCTTTTTGAGGGGCCCCAGACAGAGCCCAGAGACTGGGTGTCCAGCTAATTGATAAATTTATCAAATACAAGTAATCGTAGCCATAGCATATAAATGAATTGTCTCGAGACCAAAACGAAAACGAAAACAAAACCAATTCAAAACCAAATCCAATCGATGTAATTGAAACAATGAGCCGCAACGTTTGTATTTATGTATAGAGTTCCCTCCCTAACCAAACAGATAAACCTATAACAATCGAGTTCCGATTTCACCAGAGTTAGGCAGCAATTAGGCTAAGATAAAGATTAACTCGAGTTACGTCAACTTAGTGGCAGTGTAAACGCATCTAGATAATTGATATGATAAGAACTTTTGACTTTTATGGCTGTTTAGAGATTTTATAATACGTCTATATCGATATAGAACTATATATACATGAGATACATAAGCCCGACATTTTCGTAAATTATTTACATACTCAAAGACACATAGACACACGCCCGAGGGGAGGATAACCTCGACTCCCCCCGCTGATTTTCGGCTAGTTCTGGCTTGACCCTTGGCAAGTACCCCTCCCATCGTATCCGGGATGGTCTCGTCTCTCTTGGTAGCGAATAGAGAAAACAAATCGAACATTGTGAAATTTAGTGTCTTTACACTTTAAAGAGAATATATACAAAACGCGGATTAAGTAAGAATTGTGAATGTAGAACGCCTATAGCTAAGCATCACTCCACACTTACACACACAAATTATGATAACTGATAAATGGTAATCTAACATACTCTCGTACATATGCCTAAAAGGATAACGTGTAGTAATCTACAGCCACCACAAACAATTACAAATAAATGTCTATATATGCAAACTCTGTGTATGGATCGAAAAACATTATGTACGCGCCATAGGGATAGCTGTACGTCATTATATACTTCAATGTATTTGTGTATATGGAAGCAAGCGCTATCAAAGTAAACAAAAATTATAAAAAAACAAAACCAAAAGAAAAAACACAAAAAAAAAAAAGAACGAAAAACAACAATAACAAATAACAAATACAAAACACAAAATTATCAAAAGAAAATGCAACTGGTTTTTAAATTACATTTTGGGGGTTTCAGTATGAATATATTTAAACATTTGGAGACTATAAAAGGTTTTATAAAATATAACCTGTACATTAAAAATATATATAGTATATATTAATTAACAATAAAAAGCCTGTGAAGGCATTCCCCCTCAGCTTCTACAATTATTTAGTTTTTACTATTATTTTTATTAGTTACTTTTCTTCTGTGGAATATCCCTTTTATTTATTATTTAAATTTTCAGAATTAATATATATTTTACACATATTATTTTTATCAGAATTAAGGCATTGGAAACTATGAAAGGTTTTAAATAGACAAATAGACAATAAAAAGTTCCAACGAAGTCAAGAGCCTGGAAATGATTTCTTCTTCAACTTTACCAAATTTCAATATTTTATTATTATTTTTATATACTTATTTAGCTTTTCTGTATTATTCCTTGTATTATTAAACATAGAAGGCCACCGAGTTTGAGAGTTAGAGACGAATAATCGAAATTCCAAAAACCCCATTTGGGCCATCCCAGATAGACCCGAGTAACTTCCAAGCCTTAAAGAGAGAGTTTACCATAAATTGCTGACCCAAAATCGCTATCCCACGCCCTCGAGGAGGACCAATTCTCCTGGCGAGAGAGAGAAGAAACCAGAGAAACCAGAATCTCCCATTCGAGGCCTCACAGGGCTCACCTCTTCTTTAGGTTCATCATGGGGCAGACGCTGTCGGAGCCGGTGACCACCAAGAACTCGGAGTGCTGCTCCAACAGTTCCTACCGTGTCGGCTCCAGCTGCATGCAAGGCTGGCGCTCGCACATGGAGGACGCGCACACCCACATCCTGTCCCTGCCCGACGACCCGCAGGCGGCCTTCTTCGCCGTCTACGATGGCCATGGCGGCGCCACGGTGGCCAACCTGGCGGGCAAGCATCTGCACAAGTTCGTTACCAAGCGGCCGGAGTACCGGGACAAGGCCTTCGAGCTGGCCCTGAAGCGGGCCTTCCTTGACTTTGACCGGGAGATGGAGCATAATGGCTCTTGGGGCGACCAGATGGCTGGCTCCACAGCCGTGGTGGTGCTAATCCGAGAGCGACGCCTCTACTGCGCCAACGCCGGCGACTCGCGGGCCATTGCCTGCGTGGCCGGGGTGGTGCAGGCCTTGTCCGTGGACCACAAGCCCAACGACGAGACCGAGATTAAGCGCATCAAGGCCGGTGGCGGCTGGGTGGAGTTCAACCGGGTCAACGGCAGCCTGGCCCTGTCCCGCGCCCTAGGCGACTTTATGTATAAAAAGAACCGACAGAAGCAGCCCGAGGAGCAGATAGTCACCGCCGATCCGGACGTGGAGGTACGCGATATCAACGACGACTGGGAGTTCGTGCTGCTGGCCTGTGACGGCATCTGGGATGTGATGACCAGCGCCGAGGTGGGCCAATTCGTGCGCAGCCGCATTGCCGAGGCCATGCCGCCGGAGGTGATCTGCGAGGAGCTGATGAACAACTGCCTGGCCCCGCGTGTCCAGGAAGTGGGCTTGGGCGGCGACAATATGACCGTGATCCTGGTGTGCCTGCTCCACAACAAGAGCTACGAGGATCTGGTGGTTCGCTGCGGCGGCAAGCGGAAGTCCAGTCCAGTGGAGTCGCCCAGGACCATGAGCAGTATCACTGAGCAGCCGGCTCTGAAGGTGGTCACGCCCTCATCCTATCCGCAGGGCACCTCTAGCTCTCGAACAAGCATGAGCCTGGGATTGGGCCTCCAGAAGAGTGATTCGCGCAGGGAGAGTTCTTAACTAAGTCACACTAGCATATCTATTAACACCTCGTTGCCGTTGCCATGTTTCGATTCACACACATACACCCACTTCGGGTTAAGGGCTCTGGCTTCAGAGCATTCGTCCTCACACCAATCACAGCTGAAATTCTCAGTTTATTTTGTGCAGTTGCTCATCCTCCTCCTGCAGCATCTAAAATTCAAGAAATTGTCCTGGTCGGGGTCATATAGTGCACAATTAATTACCTAGGAAAGAAGTCCAAATAATAACAAACATTCATTTCTAATTTCTCGGGGATCGGTGGATCTCTCGTTTAATTCGAATAAATGTGCAAATCTATAATACAGTTTTAGAGCTAAGTATACGTGTATATATAATATATATCTTTTGGTGTATATGGTATATAAAGGTATATGCTTCTATATAGATACATCTTTGGTCCGTTTAGCTGTAGGTTCGATTCGTACGAAGTTGGGGCTGAGAGTGCAAAATGCAGTGCGTGTCCGTCTCCCGGTAACTACAAACATATGTAAATGACTACAAAATAATGAATATGAATATACAGATTCTATATGATATATGAGTGTGGTGTACAGGCTAATTAGTGTTACAGTTATGTCAATTATTGCACCACATGCGGCCGTAAGTGCTTAAAATAACGTAGCGCAAACATGTGCGGATACCTCGGTTCTCGGTTCTCGGGGATCCGGATTCCGGATCCATCCGCCCAATGTGCGCTGAATTTAAAGATAAAGACTAGAAATTCTCTCGTTCTGGACCGACTGGGGTGCCCGGAAGCAGGAAACAGTCGGTCCTCCTTAATGCAAAGTGATTAATGGGGGTTAGTAGAGTGAGGGGTGAGTGGTTGGGTGGGTGAGTGAGTCTAGTGCTTGTAAAGTCGTAATGCTAATGTAGGGAGTACGTGTAAAGTTTGTAGCTTGGCTCTCGATCTCATGATCCTGATCCTGATCCTGATCCCGACCCTGATCATGATCATTTTAAGGGTGAGTGTCGTATCGTATGTGCTATAAAAAAATACTGGTTACATTGGTTTTTTGTCGCTGTTCTTGGCAAGTCTCTAATAAGTCTCATTACAACTAAGTGAAGATCAAACGATCAATCGGGATCGATCGATCCAACCTGGTCTCTCTACGTATATGTATATCTACGGAGTATTTCTCATCCTCATCCTCTCTGGGTCAGCTTCTCCTCCTCCTTGTCATTCTGGAATCATCTACTCTCTAAAATGGTACATTAGCTCTTTTGCATTTTTATCACATATTCGTTGACTACAGTAAGAAAGTGGCCTGGGATCGGGTGGGTTCAGTGTGTGGCTTGGATTAGTGGGTCTTCTCCTCCTCGAATTCTTGCTCTCTCTGGTGTCTTTTGCCTGGCGTCCAACTCCCATCTCTTATGCCACCATGGCGTAGTTCCCAGTCAGCTCAAAGGGGCTTGTCTTTGCCGAGTGCGTAAAGTTGTTTTTGGGCGAAAAGTCCACGGGCTGATCCTGGCCAGCAACGCCTTCTGTGGTGGGATTGGCCTGCGGCTGATGATAGTGATAGGGCATGGCCAGGGGCAGGGCCAACGGATGGGGGCTGGGATGCAGCTCCTGGTAAAGGCCGTGGATCCGATGGGGCAGCACCGTCGAGGAGTGAATCACGCTGAAGGAGGACACGTCCGGGTAGCCCTGGTAGGCCAGTTCCGCCTGCCGGCGATCCTTCTCCTTCTGAAGCAGCTTGTTGGCCAGCGTGGACTTGGCCGAATCGGGAGCAGCACACTTAAAGAAACGTAAATTATACAAATGAGGTAAAAATAGAATAATATTTTCATGTTTGTTTTTATTACCAGGGATCTTGGTGTTAAGCCCGAGCCAGAAACTACTCCCGCCTCCGATTGCTGGCGCTTGGGCGACGTGGGAGGGCGTGTGCCATGAGCCGGACTCCCTCCAGAGCGTGAGACCCCACCTGAGCTGGTTCCAGGACGGTTCTTCATGCAGGAGGACTCCTCATGCTTGTAGAGGTAAGACTTGAGGGCAAAGGCCTTGCCGCAGCGGGCGCAGGTGTGGGGCTTGGTGTTGGAGTGCGTCTGGATGTGGGCCCGCAGGTTGCTCTTGTCGGCGAAGGCCTTCTCGCAGACACTGCACTTGAAGGGCTTCTCGCCGGTGTGGGTGCGGATGTGGCCCTGCAGGAGCCAGGGCCGCGAGAAGCGCTTGTGGCAGAAGTGGCACTCACATCCCTGGTTGTGGGTCCGCACATGCATCGAGAATGCGGGCATGGACACGTACACCTTCTCGCAGTAGGGACAGTGCCGCGCCTTCTTGTCCATGATTGACCTTTGTACGAAATGGAGAATGGATTAAAGTCGAAATGGTGCTAATCCTCCGCCACTCACCTGTGGGTTTGTCTATGGCGCGCCAGGTTGGAGGATGTGGAATACTTCTTGCCGCACTCGGGGCAGATGTGGTCGTCCTCCAGCAGCGAGGAGGAGCCAAGGGCCTCGCTCTGATCCTGGTTTCCGTGTTCCAAAGACTCCCTTTCGACTCCCAGATGATCCTCAGGCGCCTGCAGGCAGGAGGTGGAGCCGTGGCTGGAGCCGGAGCTGCTGCTGCTGGTGCAGGAGTTCGAGTCGGAGAAGGTGCAACGACGAAGTTTCCTGCGATCGAACACCTTGTGGCTGTAGTAGTTCGAGTCGTCATCCGACGAAGCGTAAACGGTGGCCGGCTGACCCTGGCCAGATGGCTTCGCCTCGGCGGTGATCAGCGGACCCGCCGCCACAGTGACCACCGCCAGCTGTGTGAGATTATACAGGTCCTCGGGTATGGGCGTGGCCTGCTGGTCCTTCGTCATCTTGGCCCAGTTTAGGGGTAAGTAGGTGCCTGCAAGATTTGGGGGAAATTCCGTGATGAAAACAGCATGACTAGTCCCAAAATATTAATGAGTGACCACGGCAACCTGCTAAGTGCGTCATCACCTGGCTAAAATAAGCCACGACATCGTCAATGTTTAATATAAACCAATTTCTATATAAATATGCCCGATTCGCAAGAAGGCCCATGTAACCCCCGCAAATTATTTTCAGAAGAAAAATTCTAGAAGAACTCTTAAGCTTTTAATTTTAAGAAAAACGTAAACGAATTCCCCCTGACTCTGGGTGTGAATGAAGTGAATCCTCATTAGCACGAAGCCTTTAATTAAACGATTTCACATTATTTGATGATATAGCCGCTCTGGTTATGGCTTTGGAAATCAATAAAAACACGCCAAATGTCGACAGAACCCCTTTCGAAACGCACCGCCATCCGTCTTGCCACCTATGTATATACATTTGTATATCTGCCGAGATAGATCATAGATCTTCCCCTCCTGGTCGTGTACGCCATAATTCTCGTTTGTTTATTTGAAAATGCATCAATTTATAATTAAGGACAGAGTCGAGAGGCCACACTTGGACTCGGATGTGAGCCAAAGTCGTCTGCATCATCATCATCATCGGTATCATCGCCAGGGGTTGGGTTGAGGGTGACCAGAGACCAGAGACCAGAGGCCGAATGCCTTGTGCCGAGGCCCACGGGGCGTATGATTAACGTCAGCATTGCATTCTGGCATTCTGGGATTCTGGCACTTGTTGGCTCCGCCGCGGTTCTGCTGGTGATCTACTGATCCGATGATGCTCCTCTGGTGGTGGCTCTTTGCGTGGTCAAATAAATTGATGTCGAAATGAGTGCGCTTAATTTGTATGTGTTGTCGTGGCATTGATTAATCTCGCACGTAATTGGCGCAGCCTTAGTCAGGTGGGTTCTGTTTTTGGGAGCTGGGTGCCAGTGGCTACTGTCCCCGCACAGGGAATAATATCAACTCGGGAATGGTTCCGAGGGGAGTCAAGTAAACGTGATCATGGAGGGACATCTTATTATTTATTTATAATTCTTATTATTATTTCTATTTGTCTCCCTCGATGACTCACTCTATTTTGGAAAAATCAAACTGAAATGCTTATACATTTTCCCTGTTTATTTTTCGGTTGATTTGTTTATCATGGGAAAGTTTTCTCCTTTGTTTGGCTGCCCCCAAAGATTGTCTAAATAATCGGAGAAGCCAACTCATTCACGAATTAGGGAATCGGCGGGGCCTGCTCCTCCACTCTTGAGGAGGTCATGTGCAATAATGCGGCTGCTGTTTTGGTTTCCATTTTGTTTGTTTCCCTAAGACTCTCGGACTTTGCCTGAGGCCAGCCGCGTGATTTCTTTCGGGGATCGTATGGTGTGGGTGTGGGTGGTGGTGGTGGTAGTGGTGCGGCAACCTGTTGCGCATTCTTGGCTGCCAATTCTCGTGTGTGTTCTGCTCGTGCTCAGCCCCCTCCTCGGGCAGTACATCAAAATGCTGGCGGCAATTAAGCAGAATATCTTCGAATTTCCCGCTGCCAAGGTGCTCGAAGGTGTTCAAGAGTGCTTTTCCATGAAGGAATCGCTTTCGAGGCGAGTGGGTGTGAGCTAATGCCACCGCCAGACGTCCATAATTTGTGTCTTGGCAATTTGCGGCCCATTTATTCGTCTCTATATACGTGAATATATACCACCTGAAGCACTGTTCCCAGGTGGTTGCCGCACACATAACACACGGTTATAGCGCTCTTCCACCTAATCACGTCATTTCAGTTTCAACAATTTCGATTTCCTTCGAAAGCGAAATACCGAAAGTTCCCCCCCGAGTTGGCTCTAGAGAACAATGTGCGTCTGGGAATTTGCCGGGGGAAACAGCTGACAAGTGGACCGAGCTTCTCCTCTACCTCAGCCTTCCCCTCAACATAATCCCTCCCCAGCAGCAGCTCCCCTGCCATATTTCCGATGTCAGAATCCGTTCGAAATGTCGCATGTTTCTGTGACAGGCCGTTAATTAATTATTCCGCCGGCCCCGTGCGATTGCAGATCGGTAATCGCAGATGACAGGACCCACGGAGAGGGTGGATGTGGAGCAGAAAGCGGGGAGAGCCGATCTGTGCCTTGAAGTCTAATGGAAAACACTTGCAGGCCTCGGAGAACTGGGTACGAAATAAATCAATATAGATATAACTGATTGAAGTTTTTTATGGAGATCAAGTCACCCATATTAAATCAATTTTAATTTCGCTAATATATTAATAGTATTAGTTCTCTCTCATTATTTTAATAATAAATTATAGTTGCTATTCTGCTGAGGCGAAGCCCCTAAAGACCATGGATGACTCATCTTCCTGTTGTCCAACCAAGCCAAATCTTCGGGCCTATCATGTGCAGCGAACAATGGCATTTCGCTTGCCATTTTCCATTTTCTTTTTCTGCGCAAATTCAGCTTGGTACGAAACAGCCTCCGTGTCCGTGTCCGTGTCCGGGTGCGTTTACGTATCCACATTTCTGGGTAGACACCGAGTTCAAAGTCCTGTTAATGTACACAAAGTCATGAAGAGGAGGAGGAGAGCACGGTGATGGCCAGCAGAGCCATCCGGAGGTGGCTTCGGTGGCCTTAACATGCGTCTTTCTTTCTTGTGGGACATCTATAAATACCCATAGGTATACAATAGCCAGGGAGGCAGGGAGCATAGGAGTAGGCACTCTGGCGGATCCCTTGCATAGTTTACATTTTAGTTCAAACTTGAAAACGGGAAAATGCACAATAAACAAATCCGGCGCCAGCCTCAACCTCTGCTGCTGATCCAGCGAGAGTCAATGCCATACGATGGGCGAAATCCCTTTCCTTTTTAAAAACTAAGAGGAAATTTTAGCTTGGAATTTATAGAATTTCAATCTTGATTTTGTATTACGATCATAGAAAAGCATTAAAATTAATATAAAATATTGTGCATTTTATATTAAAAGCGATAAATAATGGACAGATAAAAATGATCTTTAATTAACTTTAAATCAAGATCAAATAGTCTGCGGTTTCCTAAGTTTCTCTCCGTGTACGACCTGCTGGAGAGCCACCCCCACTGCGTGCGATCCAATGGATGTTTTGGAATTGTTTGGATTCGGCAATCCGCTTTTGTTTACCCCGGAGCGGGGGCCCTCATCAATCGTTGCCTCAACTGCAGTTCCCGAAGGCTTGTTTACCGCTGAGGATAAACATTTGGACGGGAAAGGACACAAAGGAGCAGCAGAGCACCAGTGGAGCGGAGGAGCCCTAGAGCTATTCATTCACCTGTAAATCAGAGCAGCTAATTATCAATCGTAAACGGAAGATCGATCTGCCGAATATTCCGGGTATCTACGCAGTTCTACTCTCGAGAAGCTAGACAATGGCCAGGCCTATATGGGTATATGGCTGGCCAGAGATATAGTCATATAGGAAGCCACTCACTAGCTTGTTTCCCGGCAACTATTTCCCGGCCCGCAACGAAGCAGCTCATTGCCAATGCAAACATTGCTCACGTAAATGTCAAAATATCAAAAGAAATAATAATATTAATTTAACAAGTGCTCGGCGGTGCGCTGGGGCTCTTTCGGGGGGGGTCTCTTGGGCCCCGAAAAATCGGAAAATGGGAAAATGGGAAAGCGTTCTGACTTCTGCTCTGCATTCACGCGAATCTGGCGGCCCAATCCCAGACCCAGGCATAGTTATGCACGCCCAAGGTGTGTATTGTGTAATCGCAAAGGTGAACCAGGGAAATTCCGCCACTTTCCCGGAAAGCCCGTTTCCATTTCATTCACTTTTTTTTGCCAACTCACCCCACGCAATTCCAATAGTTTTTTTTTTTTGTATTTTTTTGGGGAACAGATCCAATCCGATTTGTTCGTTCTTCGTTGCTCTACCTCGCTCTCTGCGGATGATTCAGTCACCGATGGGGATCAATAATATATCACACACACACACACACGCACGGCGCGTTCCACGAATTTCACCACCCGAGAAAAGAGGGATATGTGGCGATGTTTTGGTATCCGCAGTGATCCTCACTAATTGTCAGACCGATGGGAACAGTCGCACGGACGGACTCCGAGCGCTAAGAAGGCGGGCGAGCGCACGCAGCGAGATCCCAGGAAGAACTGAGCGTTCTTCGCCGGACCACTTACAGTTTTTACATCTTGCGCGGCGGCGGCCACCTCTTGCGCTGCCTCTGCCTCCGTCCTCGTCTTCGGGTCCGTCTCCGGCTGCGTCTACGTCTCTGCTGCCACACAGCACACGGCGAGAAAATTGAACTAACTTGGTTTTAGCTCAGGCTAAAAAAGAGGTATAATGTCAAAGTTGTTTTGTGCACATTTCTAATTAGCAAATCGGCTAATTGAATTTAAAATTTAATAAATAATTTCGTTCTTCATTTAATGGATATTTTAACCCATTATTAAATTTGAAAGATCTGTATATTTTTATGCCCTCCCAGGGTATTATACTTTTATTCAGAAGCTTGAAATTTAGTGAAGGAGTCACTTTCGACCCTATAAACCATACATATTCTTGATCAGCATCGAAAGCTGAGTCGATTAGGACATGCTTTCAGGAAATAAAAAATTTCGCCATTTTCATGAAACTGTATAAGGGGTTACATCATTAAAATTCTTAAAAATTGGCCAACATTTTGATTTCTAAAAATTTTAAATTCAGTAAACAGATTTGTTAATCTACAAAAAACGAGAACATAACTGCTTTCCGAATTGAATTTTATGCTTCTTTGACTTAGTTATGATTTTTTAAAGTATTAAAATAACTCAAATATTTTCTGTTTTTAAGAGGGTTTTATCATTTTAATCAGTGAAGGAGACATTTCCGACCCTATAAACCATATATATTCTTGATCAGCATCGAAAACTGAGTTGATTAGGACATGTTTTCAGGAAATAAAAAATTTCACCATTTTCATAAAATTTTATAAGGGGTTACATCATTAAAATTCATAAAAATGCCCAAAAAATTAAATTTAAAAAATAATGAAATACAGTATGCAGATTTTTTAACGTTATAAAAACTAACTCAGAACAGTTTTCCGAATTGGAATTAATGCATTTTTGGCTTAGTTTTGAAATTAAAAGCACTCCATTACTGCAGGGCTATTAAATTATGAACATTTGTCTTAAGTACCACCCCTTTCGCTCTGTGTACCTCCGCATTCACGTCGAGGAGGTGACGAAGCTTCTCTGCGCAGACACGAAACGGCGGAACGACGTGGACGACAGCCAGCAGCTGTTGTTAGCCGCTCTTCCCTAGGATCGCCGTGGATCGTACGGGAGATCGCATCGAACCCAACTCCAAGAACGAATCACGACGCTGACTGCGACTGAAGCAGCGGCAGTGGCAGCGGCAGCGACGGTGTGTCGGCGATTGGAACAAGTGTGTGCGGTTTAAAAATAAATCAAAAATAATGTTTTCATTATGCTGCTGCTTCTGCCCCTCTCGGAGCAGCTCTGGCTGCATATCCCGAAAGGGAAAACTGTTCGCTTTGCGAGATGCTACGGCTAATGCTGGTGCCGGAATGGTGAAGATGGTCCTCCTGCGGCTGGCTGGCAGGACCACTGCGCAGAATTCCTCTAACGATCCGCAGCCAGTGTCAAAAACCTCACACACTGGGTAAAAGCACAGCAGGGGTTGAGATAATATATATTTTTTGGGAAAAGTAATAACTAGTTGAATAACTAATGTTGAGTAATTTGTATCTCTAAGATACAGAGTCTTTTTATTATTTTTTTATAGAGCATTATCAAAATAGTAAATACAATTATTTATTATCAATTATAAAAAAATATTAAAGACCTAAAATAAGGTTACATAGTTTACTTAAAGTGATATTTCTCTGAAACTAAACGGGACATTCTCGTAGAAAATTCCTTTGTTTACTGAGTGCCATTTATATGACCGCTGCTGTGCATTTTATGCCCCATGTGTGACTGAGTTTTTTCGCCTGCGCCCCATGCTGATTTTGCCTAGAAAGTGTGATGTTGAGAGGCGGGAGAGCCGAATTCTACCGCTTCGTGGTGGGGCGGTTTCTTCTCCCTCCCTTCTCTGAGTCTTCTTTTTGGGATTCTTCTCGGTGTTTCCTCCGACTTTTCCGCTCGTTCCTCTAGAGTGACGCAGTCGCCTGCAATTTGGCATTTCGCTGGCGCAAGTACTTGTTGCGGGCATCCAAAATAGACTCCTCACTCACCTGTGCCGCCGACCTGCTCCTCCTCCGCAGAGCACCCACTTTCCAATTCTCTCCCGTGTGCCGCCAGTCGCTCTCTCTATCTCTTGGCGATATTTGGCCTTTGAAAGGCCCCAAAAAAACTGATTCCTCACAGGTGTTGTCGTCGCTTCTGCGTTTCCACTTTTCTTTCGGCATTTCATTTTTCGACTTTTCAGGCGTAATGAACTTAATGTCGCCCCTTTTGGGGATCTCGGCAGATGTATTGGGTGCTAACGTATTTTCTATATACTCGATATGATTTATGCCGAGCGCTGGTTCTGTTGGTTCTGGTTCGAATTGGTTTTTGATGTCTTACAAAAGATCTTTACAGTTCGGGGAGGGGATTGTAATGGGTTTATTTATAAGGCAACCCTGCTCCCTCTACCCTTCCCGACTAATCGGTTTTTTAGTGCTTCCCCCTTGCCTTGCTTTATGCCTCGGCTTTTCGCACTTCTCGGGCGCATTTTCACACTCTCCCACAGCCCACGCAGCAGCAGCAGCAGCTCCGAAGACAAAGGAAAATCGGTGGGCTTTGTCTGGCGCCAACATGGAAATGCAATTTGAATGGTAAGGTCAGGACGGGCATGGCCATGCATCACGGCGGAGAGCTTTGGACCAGGGGTGACATGTGCTAAAGACATCTTGTGGCAGCAGCAGCCGCCACTTTAATCACGGTAATTAATAAGAGGAAAGAAAGGAGCAGCAGGCACAAAGGAAGTGTCACGGCGAATCGCAGCGAATCAGCTCGGATCATTGGGTGCAGCAGCCAGTGCCAGTCTTCACCCCCTCCAAGAAGCAGGCTCCTTCTCCAGGCCTCACCCGGAGCGAGCATCGTCGCGACTGGCGGCCATAAATCTATTTTCGTCCTGGTTCCAGCCGGAGTCTGCCCCTCCTGCTCGCTGTACTCTTGCTCACTTGCTGCGCAATTGCGTGGTCCGATCGCCGCTCTGCAATCTCCCATACAGCGGCTCCTGCCCCACCTCAACACTGACAGAAAATGGGCATTAGTCAGGTGTCCAAACTCAAGATTTCTGCAGTGTTTAAAATTCAAAATTAATTGGTCTTTATTGCAAGATTTTTAATGTGTAATTTACGCAGTTACAACTACCAACTATCTGTCTTATTTTATTTTAAATAATCAATTACCAAAAGAAATAAATAATAATATAAAAAACAGTAATCTATATACGGGCTTAAGCAATTTAGAAATAGTTTTCCACCATTTAAATGGGGTATTTGAACATATTTAATAATTAAGTAAAGTAAAGTAAGTAATTAAATAATGCTCCCCAAACCTTTTCCCCAGTGCATGACAGTTTATTAAGTGCCCCTGGATCTTTATTTTTAACTGCTCCCATCGACATCGGGTGGTTCTTGGGATCGTATTCTCTGCGTAGGTAAAATGAAGTATGTAATGTGGCCACCGCCTCGTCTGTGCTGAATCTCCGAGTGAATTCCAAACGACGACTTCCAAGAGTGTCCAATTATTTAAGGCGATAAGTAAGCGGAATCCCATTTAATGCGAAATTCAACAGGAAACAAAGAAAGTGCAGGCAAATCACCAATTTCTCCGCCTTTTGTTTGGTAAATTATAGAAGCTGGAAAATCAAAATCAGATCAATCGATCCGAGATCTCCTCGAAACTCGAGTGGCCATAATTTATAGGGAACTTCAGCACCCAATTCAGCATCCCTGGTCGCATCCTGTTTACAGGAATTTCAAGGGTTCAAGCGGATGGAGGGGCACCTGACTTTAAGAAGTCTGGGAAGGGGGAGACCAGGCCGGATATGTGAGTAATTCCTCGGCGAGGAATCACAAGAATCAGAGCTGCCGCCGAAGTTTGGATCGTGCCGTTCCGTGGCGAGATCATAAAGTTCTATTTATACCGGTCCGATTGGGGGAGCTCTAGCTGCGGGAAGTTCAAACTCCAGATCCCAATCCTCGTCGATGCCAAGTGCAGCAGCAGCAGTGAGCGAGAGCGATTCCGTAGGTGGCTGCCACTTTGCAAGGCCCGAAAGGGAGAATTTCGCTCCCAACGGAGGTGATGCTGGGGCTTGGCATGTGCCGCCACTTGAATCAGTGGCTGTTTATTGACGGGAGCAGGGAGGAGCTGGGCGGAACTGGAGGTGAGGAGCGGAGAGAAGAAAGCAAGAGGAGCACTGCCATGTGCAATGGCAGCGAAACATCAACCGTGTCAAAATTCAAAGAAACAAAAGCGGAAATGTTTTTGTTTTCCTCATTTTCAACAGCCGCCGTCTCACATGGGGAAAACTAAAACAGTCCGAGAGTGGTAATGGAAAGCTGATTTGGTCAATGAACTTTTCCTTTTTTCCCCTCCGTCTATAATTGGCTGCGGCCGCGGAGCTCAATTGAGTTATTAACCTGGTGGAGGAAACGATGCCGAAAAGATTCTTAGCTGCACATTAATTTACACAAGTGCCTGATTTAAATAATGATTATTACCTTTTGATTTTGTTATTATTTATTCCTTGGTTTAATTAGACAAAAACATTTCCGTTTTATTTATTTATTATACAATTACTTATATTTTCGTTAATTTTGATTAATTTAATATCAATTTTAAACACATTTATTTTAATACACATTATTATACACTTGCAGGGTATAATAATTTCAATCAAAAGCTAGCAAAGCAGTGAAGGAGTCATTTCCGACCCTATAAATCATGTAGAACAGTTTTCCGATTTAAAATTAATGCTCTTTTGGCCGAGTTATAATAATTTTAAATTTTCAAAAAAATCAAGAAGTTTTTTAATATAAAAAATCAGATTTTATAATACTAAATAATATTTTTCTAAGTCAAGGAGTCATTTCCGACCCCATAAACCATATATATTCTTGATCAGCATTAATAGGCGAATCTTTCTAGACATGTCCGGAAGAAATCGATTTTTTGGCCATTTTTGCGAAATTTGATAAGGGGTTACATCATTAAAATTCTCAAAAATGACAAAAAAAAATGATTTCTTAAAATGTTAAATATGCAGACTTGTTAAGCCAGAAAAAACTAGGACAGAAAAGTTTTCCAAACTGAATTTAATGCATTTTTGGCTGAGATTTGATCAATTTTTTATTCAAAGCCAAGATCCTTTGGCAACTGCAAGGGTATACAAATTTCGGCTTCCAGAATTTTGTTTCCTTTCTTGTTTTAATAGTAAATAAAATACTTATCCTTATATGACTTTGTCTATATGAATATGTAGGTATTAAATTAATCTTACATTTCAATATATAAAATAATAATAAAGTCATGAATTACTGTAACTCTGTGTAATTTGAATTCCCGCCCAACGTCCGATTGATTAATTTATCGAGCCACTTCATGGCGTTGCCAGACAATTCGGTTTCAATTATCGAATATCATGTGTAGTTCGAATACCAGACGTGGTTTGCGTATCAGGTGTGACACTGGATTTTTTAGGAGGAAATGTTTGGGATTTTTTAGGTGGAAAGAGCTAACTTGCATCTGGTCACACTGCGACTCTAACTCAAGTGAAAATGCGATTTCGCTGCTGAAATTTTCGCGAAAAACGCCGGAAAAGATAAGAAAACGCTGGAAAAACATTACCAAAACATGCACCACTAGTGTGGGCACCCAACACACACAAGCAAAGCACCGAAAACGTGCGAAGATAGCGAGGAGCACCGCCCCAGCTAACAAACATGGCGCCCACCCCCTTGCCTTTGCCCCTGCCCCTGGAGCAGATGCCCGGCGTCGGCGGCGGCGGAGGCGGCTATTTGCCCGCAGGACAGGTAAATATCTTTGAAGATCCACGCAGCATTAGGCATTTCATCACATCTGCATCTGCAGGAGGGCGGCCCGCGGATCAACACAATGTCGTTGTCGGTGCTGATCGATTTCATCATCCAGCGCACGTACCACGAACTCACCGTGCTGGCCGAGTTGTAAGTGATTAATACCTCAGTGGTGGTGTTGGTTCTCCATTCGCTCAGACTCTTGTTTCCCTTTCAGATTGCCCCGCAAGACAGACATGGAGCGCAAGGTGGAGATCTACAACTATGCGGCGCGCACCCGCCACCTGTTCACGCGCCTGAACGCCCTGGTTAAGTGGGGCAACTCGGTGTCCAAGGTGGACAAGTCGTCGCAGATCATGAGCTTCCTGGACAAGCAGAACATGCTGTTCGTGGAGACGGCGGACATGCTGGCGCGCATGTCTCGCGAGACCCTGGTCCGCGCCCGTTTGCCCAACTTCCATATTCCGGCTGCCGTCGAGGTGTTGACTACTGGCACCTACAACCGGCTGCCCACCTGCATCCGGGAGCGAATTGTGCCTGCTGATGCCATTACCCCAGCGGAGAAGCGTCAGACGCTGCTGCGCCTGAACCAGGTGATCCAGCATCGTCTGGTGACGGGCAAACTGCTGCCCCAAATGCGAGAGTTTCGCATTAAAAACGGACGCGTCACCTTTGAGGTGAAGCACGAGTTCAGCGTGGCCCTCACGGTGATGGGCGACAGCCCGACTGTGCCCTGGCGGCTGCTGGACATCGATGTGCTTGTGGAGGACAAGGAGACGGGCGGTAGGCATCCTACTATCTAGTTGTTTCCATTGTAAAACTAGTTTTCTTCCTTTTTTCAGATGGCAAATCGCTGGTGCATCCGTTGCAGGTGAACTACATCCACCAGCTGATCCAGGCACGGCTCGTGGAGAACCCCAATGCACTGAGTGAGGTTTACAACTGCCTGCACTACTTCTGCCAGTCCCTGCAGCTGGAGGTCTTGTACACGCAGACGCTGCGCCTCAACTACGAGCGATTGGATGACAACAACATTACCCCGGAGGAGTATATACCAGGGGTAAAGCTCACCGTCTCTTATTGGCGAGACTTAAAGTCGGAGCTGGGCTACCGCCTCACGGTGCAGTCCGATCCCAGCGAAATTGGGCGCCCTTTGGCCGTGGTCCACGTGCCGTCGTTGGGTGCCAAGGAGTCGGCCGAGGTGGCTGACCGGGCCGTGCGCTCCGAGCATCTCTCCATGGAGCGTCTCATTGTGCACACAGTCTACATACGATCAGTGTCGCGCCTGAGCGACCTCAAGCTGGAGTTCCAGGCCTTCCTCAAGGACGTTGACTGTGAGTGTAAATGTTGCAAGTCTCCCCGCCGGCACAGGTAACCACTGATCATTTTAATCATGTTTCTCCATAGTTAACCTCCAAGGAACCCCCGCCATCCTGACCGTTCCCGTGCTAACGCCCTGCCTGCGGGCAGAGCAGATCCACATCACTATCGACACCCACACGGGCATGTTCCGCTGCCATGTGCCCAAGCATCTGGACTGCCCGATCACCGAGGAAATGCAGGACTGCCTCAACGGAGATCGGGGCAAACTGCCCGCCCTGCTCTCGGAGCTGCGCTTCTGGATCACCCATCGGCGGTGCGAAAAGACCCTGCAGCACCTGCCAGCCACAGCCACGGAGACGCTTCCCTTTCTGGCCCAGCCGGAACAGGAGCTGCTGCAGCAGGGCAGGCACAAGATCTACGTTAAGCTGCACAGGCATCCCAACATCGTTCTGGTTTGTATAAAGGACCTGTGGATGGGTTTCCCGCAGACTAACCAGATTTCTTTCCCTCCAGGTGGTTCAACTCAAAGAGAAGGCAACGATGCCCAACGAAATGGAGTACACCTTCCACTTGGGCTTCGTGGCCTACCAAAAGGACGAAGCGGACGTGATTGACGACTCCGCCAAGCAGCTGGTGTCCGTGGTGGCCCAGCCGCCCTCTGACATCCCCAAGTGCTACACCAAGCTGATGCGGCTCATCGAGTTTGATACTTTCGTGGCCACGCATGGACCTGGCACCGAAGTCGATGGTAAGGCCAAGTCCGCGACATGGTTAAGCTCTCTAATAACATTTTCCTTGCAGCGGAGGTTTCCCCCCACAAACGCAAATCAAACGGTGATCTGCTGGCCCCTCCCGCCAAGCAGCAGAAGACCATCTTCCCCGCCTACTTCATTCCGGAGCTGGCCCATGTGGTGGCCATGTGCGACGAGAAGATTCCCTTCATGAACCTCGCCCAGACGCTGTCCAAGCACAACATCCCCCACAGTGGCCTGCAGGTCGAGGCTAATGCCACCTCCCTGGTGCTCAAGATTCTGGCCTTGCCTCAGCCGGGCAAGACGGTCTTTGCCAGCAGCCAGACACAGCAGCAGCAACAGCAAGGCGGAGCAGCTGGACAGGGTGAAATGAAGACGAGCGGATCCTCGGGACTGCCCAAGATCGAGCCGCATGTCTGGGACGATCTTATGCGCCGCGTGCTCTCCATTTCCGTGCGCTCGCAGACCAACAAGAACAGCCAGGTGCGCATCTGGGTGGTGGAGTTCGTCTTCTACAGCACGCCCCTGCAGAGCAGCCATCAGAAGGAGCAGGGCAGCCGGCGGACAGTCTACCTCACCTACGAGCAGGCCAACAGCGACTTCTCCAAGACGGTGGAGGATCTGCTTAACGACTGGTCCAAGATCGTCTACCTGTACACGCTGGTCCACGACTTTGCCGAGCAGCTGCGCAACAGTGAGTTGAATTTAGTCCCCCGATAAGCTGTCTTGAATTAAGTTTCCCTTCTTCCAGAACGCCTCTCGCTCTGCGACATGCTGGTGGTCAAGTCGTACAGCTACATGAACCTGCTGCTGGGCTACGGGCCCAAGAAGGAGGTCAGCTGCAACATCTACTGGTCGGTGCAGTCGCACGGCTTCCGCCTGACCTTCGTGGGCGGTATGTCGGCCGTCAATGCGCACTCAATGATGCGGGACCAGCTGGCGCAACATCTCAACCAGCAGCACAGCCTCACCCAGATCGCCCAGATCCTGCACGAGACCTACAGCCCGATGAGCTCCATAGCCAAGCTGCCAGTGCTTCCGTTCTTGGGCATACCGGTGAGTCCAGCTCCGAGCTGCCACGAAAGCCCATCTTGATGCAGAATATCTTCTCCTTTCAGCGCCCCCAGGTGCCCGTGCTGTCCTTCTGCATGCTTGCCCAATCCCCCTGCCTGATGAGGCTCACCTACCAGGCCGTCTACTGCCTCGAGCTGCGCTTCCGGGCCAACAGGCTTGTCTCCATCCGCGACGGAGCCAGCAGCCGCTTCGAGCGCAACGTGGTGGAGGAGTTTACGCCCATCCAGGGCCTCAAGGCCTTCCTCTCCAAGTACGTGGACGAGTCGGCGGCGTACAGGGGACGGGCTCCCCACGAGGACGACAACCCACTGTCGCCGATGGGCCTGGAGGATAACTTCGGGGGTCCCAGCAGTGTGGCAGGTGTTAGCGCCGGCGGCTCCTCTCCGTTTCTGGGCACTGGCATGCGCGGACCGCAGTCGCCGCGGGACAGTGGCCTGAGATTCCCCGCGCCCCACACGCCGCCGTCCAGCTCCAATCCGCACACGCCGGCCAGTCCGCATCCGAGTGCGGGAGGTGCCGGCGGAGGAAGCGGAGCCCAGGGCCATGGAAACTTTAACCTGACATCTCCGCCAGCGCCGCACATGCCGCATCCGTCGCCCAGCGGCCTGATGCCCTCGTCGCCGCTGAATCCCCAGCCCAGCCCGCACATGGTGCATAGTCCTGGACCGAATACCCTCTACATGCAGAGCCATCAGGACTCTCCCTTCACGGCTATGTCGCCGGCAAATAACAACTGGCCAGGATCCCCCAGCATGCCGCGCCCCTCTCCACGGCCCGGACAGAGTCCCGAGCACAAGGGTACTGGCGGTGGCGGCGGAGGAGCTGGAGGAGCAGCCGGTGTAGTGGACAGAGGCGTTGCCCGAGGCACCCTAAATCGCCCCTGGGCCGGTGCTGTGCCCACGCTGCTGACCCACGAGGCCCTGGAGACGCTGTGCCGGCCAAGTCCGCATCCCAACAAGGACATCAACGTGCCTGACATGAGTCCGCTGGAGCGATTCCTGGGATGCGTTTACATGCGCAGGCAGCTGCACCGGAACATCCAGAGCGAGGAGACGCTGACGGCGCTAAACAGCACGGAACCGGGCGTCGTGCTGTTCAAGGTGGACGGACTCCAGTGCCAGGTGGTGCTCAACCAGATGCACATGCAGACGCTGCACCTAAAGATCTCGCAGCTGCCGCCGATGCCCGACAAGCTGCCGCCGCCGTTCCAGCTCAGCCCGGACGACCTGCTTGTGATCGAGCAGTACTTCGACACACGGGTGGCTGCGCCGCCCTACAGGCCCAATTCGCTGCACAGCATCTGCCGGCTGCTAAACCTGCCGGCCCAGGTGCTCAAGGACTTTGTGCAGATCATGCGCCTGGAGCTGAAGCCGGAGCTGGGCGGCGACCAGCTCAAATGGACGGTGCAGATGTGCATGCGCATGCCGCCCTCAGCCGTGCCCATCGTGCCCTGCGGCAATGCCTGCGTGGTCCTGGGACGCATGAAGATCCTGTTCTTCCTGCAGATCACACGGATCCCCTACGGCGCCGGCGTTGGCGTGGCCAAGGACTGGAAGGACAGCCCCTCGCTGGTGCTCCCCATCGTCTACGACATCCAAACGAACGTCACCCAGATGGCGGAGCGCAACGGGCAGGTGAACTCGCCCACCATGACCGCCGCCAGCACCCTGCTGCGTCGATTTGCCGAATTCAATGCCCAGCAGAATCAGTGCACGCTCTTCCCGGCCATCTCTGATCTGCTAACGAACCTCCAGCTGGCCACTGAGATGCCCCAGCCGCCGCCCAACCAATCCATTGGACCACCAGTGGGTGTGGGCGTCGGAGTCGGAGTAGGTGTGGGTGTGGGCGTGGTGGGGTCAAGCCCCAACCCGATGATGCCCATGCAGCAGCTCCAGCCGCAGCAGGTGGGTCCCCAGGGACCGGTGGGACCCGGTGTCTACCCGCAGATGGGCCCCAATCCGGGAGGTCCGCAGTGATGAAGGCGCAAGCGCCGCGCCTCCTCGCAGCAGCCGTGAGCTGCGGCTGAGAGGCAATCCGGAACGGCGAGCGATTATTTATTCGTAAGGAGGTTGAGAGGAGCGTGGGGTGAGTTGACTTTTGAACGTGTCTCAAAGCCTGTACAATGAGGAGCTTACCTTCGAGAGCGCAATTTTTTTGGAACCCTTTTTGCATGCTTACAAAAGCGAGTTACTCTAGGATACTCAAAAATAATTAAGGAGAAAGTTGATACAGATTTCAATCTTGCACTGATCTGAGCAGACACAATAATAAACCGAAATAAAGCCTGGTTTCTGTTAAAGATCAGGTGCTACATATATACATTTTATTGTGCCGTACTCCCTGAAATAATTACACATCCACGATTAGAGATTGTTAAGTAAACAGTGCGGCAAAGTAATAAAGAGACGTAACTTTAGATTTAACTGTAACTGTGTGAGTCATACTAATTTGTTTCTATCACATGGTTCGATTGCAGCTGCGCCGTGCTCCGGAGGAGGACGCCTAGCAAATGCGTTGTGACTATATTGCACCGAGGTTAGTTCTTGTTGTCTAGCTAATAATCTATCTACTCCCACTGGTATTTGGCATAGTTGCTGATTGAGCCTCCGCTCACTGCTGCTTGGCCGCTATCTGGGTGCTGTCCATTTGGCTGGTCAGCTCGGAGATGCCCTCCTCCTCTTCGGAGATGAGGTCCACCCAGTAGCGAAGCTTCTTGCTGCGCATGTAGCTGGCGGAGTTGTCAAAGACCACCGTGTCTGTGGGGGATTACGGTTCACAATTAATCAGATATGCTTCAGAACAGTAGTGGCTAGAGGCTACTCACAGGTGGTGTTGGGTCGCGTGGAGATGTAGCCGATCTCGTCCATCTCGTTGGAGTATACCGTGCCCAGGTGCACCTCGCTGCGCTTCTCGCCAGTCTGCTCGTCCACACTATAGATGCCGAACTTGATGTCGTAGTCGATGGTGCGGAACTCCCACGAGAGGATCTTCTGCTCCTCCTGGTTGACCTTGAAGTGCAGCTTGAGCTTGTCGCCCTTGGGCACCTGCGTCTCCACAAAGTCCCTGTCGCTCTGCTGGCTGCTCTGGTCGATGTACAGTTCCTCCGGTAGCTTGCCGCCCCAGACCATCAGGGCCTTGCACTGGGGGTCTCCGTTCCTGTCTACCATCTCGCCGCCCCAGGCCTTGGGGAACGCCTTGCGGTCCACGTGGGAGAAGAGCTGCTGCTGCCAGCGGTCCACGCCGGACTTGTAGATGACGATCTTGCTGGTGGTGTTCTCGTCGAGGAACTTCTTCACAATGTTAAAGGCCACCGAGAAGAGCTTCGGCGCGTTGATGATGTAGCACATCTTGAGCAGCTCCGGGAAGTTGGCCTCGTACTGCTTCACCGTGGAGATCACGCACTCGGCCGCCGGTCGCCAGGCGTACTGCTTCAGGTTCACGTTCTCCATGTCGAAGAACACCACCAGCTGGCGGGCCTTCCACCCGTGCTTTTGGCTCTGGTCGTAGGCGATCTTCATGAAGCGCTCCAGCAGCAGCACCAGGTACTTTTGGAACTCAAAGCGCGTGACGCAGTGCATCATGCCCCACATGTCGAAGTTGGCAAAGGGGCAGACCAGCACTGGTGATCCCTCCTTGTCGTAGCCCATGAGCCCGTAGGGCAGGTATTCCTGCAGGGCCCTGGGAGGATCCCACTTCTCGATGTTGTCCACGTTCCACATGGAGCGGGTCTTCAGGCTCTGCAAAGATCAAGTCAGGTATTATTTGGGTTCGGATGCAATGGCATCGCGCCACTTACAGCTCTCAGCATTTTCTCCGCCGCATCCATGTTCCATTTACGAGCTGTTTCGGAGGCATTACGATTACAACGTTATCTTTAACCTTTTACGGGGACAACTCACCTCGCAGCCAACGCACCAGGAAGTAGTCATCGTGCGTGCCCACCAGAGCATCGTCCATCTGCTTGCGGAACTGTAAACAAATGTTTATACATGTATAATAGTTATTTTTTTATGAATTTTAGAGTGTTGTTTAGAGCTGAAACAGCTAATCGCTAATCGTCTAATCTGATTGATAGTCCAATTGTCTCGATGATTTATTTTTATTGAAGGCCAGTACAACTGGTCTTAGTATTTATTTCTTTTTTATTTTTCAATTCCAGGCGATAAAGCTTACAGTCTTTTTACGTATCGGTCTTTGTCTTAATTGCTGCTAATTCGTATTGGCCTTGTCCGAGTGCCAAAATCGGTTGTTGTTGACACGAACGAAAGTTGAATCGGCGATCGGTGAGCAGCGTCTCTCCTTTCTTCACCTTATCTGCTGCCTTTGTTTGCTGGCCTTTTATTAACTTATTATTAACTAATTTATTGGGCAAACAGCACGTACTTCGATTTGCATTCGATCAAGTGCACATTTAACGCCGTTTCAATCGCCCAATTGACTCGCGACTGCCTCCCCGACCAGGTGCTGAGTCACTCGGCTCTGACTTAAAGGCAAAACCACTCGAAATTCAATAACGAGGCCGCTCCGCTGGCTCACTAACCCAACCGCTTCTTTTATTTATTTTCCTATGATAGTTTCGGTTTTTCAGTTTTCGCTTTTCGTCGTTTGGCAACAAACTTGGCCGCTTGGCCGCCTGGCTTTTATTATCTTCGGAGAAGGCTGCCTCGACTGACTGGCCCCCAGGTGACGGCTATGCCACTGTGTGATTGTGGGCTCCATTAGCGCGCCGAGTTCTGCTGCGCGCACTTCCCCGTTTTACCTCTATTTCTGGGCCTGACTTTGACTGTAATACTCGGTAATGGGCCATCGAAAATTGAGTCTATATTTGGCCAAGGCACTTGGTATTTAAGGCTAGTATTTACCTCTGGCTTACAGCTTGCATTTAACTTGGTCAACTCTTGGAAGTTTCTCCACGTTGACTGGCCGGAATTCTTTTTTTCTTTGCATTTCCAAAACAAGAAACCTGTTGCTCTCGTGATTTATGCAAAATACTGCAAGATTTCTACGGGGTCTAAGGTCCGCTCTGGTCAGGGCTCTCTCTGAGCTCCGTTCTGGATAACTGCTCGCGCTTATCGTTGCCACTTCATGTTTATTTATAATTGTAATCGTAGTCATTGTGCCATGAAATGACATGAGCACTTGGCGACTCATCGCAGCAATTAAAACAGGGCAAGGGTCTGGTCTTAATATCGAGATTATAGGCAATGATTTACACTTCTCCAGCTGGTTCCGCATTTGCCAATTTAAATGCATTTATTCCCCCCCGAGTATTATAATTATTATTAAACTGGTCTTTGTGGGTTTTTATCGACGACTTCAGCTTTGTTTTCGATTTCGCAAGCGGCCAGAGAGAACACACGAGAAGTCAACAATTCGCAACTGCAGAAACTGGCCTCATCAGTGGTTTGCCTCAGGAGGGGTTTCAGGGGTTAAGACAACACCTGCAGATGCAGCATGCAGATATTTTTAAGATGTCAAACGATCTGGCAGGCGTTAAACTCAGGTACGGTGAGTACAGTGGTCTCTATGCCCCTGACAACACATAAACCTAGTAAGTTCTGTGGCCACATAAGCAGGCCAGCAGCTGTTGAAACAGTAGGTCGCTGATGTCTGGCCGAATTGCTAATAATAATCGAGGAGGAAGCCAAGCGAGCAATTGCTGATTTCCATAGCCAGCGGAGTCAATGCTCCGCTGATCACAGAATGACTGTTCTGTTTTGGTTTAGAATATCGAATCGATCAACACATTGCCTAGTCATGGGGAAATTCAGACCAGCAATGATGCCAAGTTGAGGATTAATACATACTAACCCCTATGTTTATACATTTAATTAAATCTCCTATTCTAATTTAAGTGCCATCGGATATGCTTTGATTCCTTTCACTTTCCAATGATCATCATATAAAAGACTCTGGTTTGTTGCAAAAATTATATAAGAAATCTTCTTCCTTTCTCTTTCTCTGCTTTCTAAGCTGACAAATCCAAACTCAAGTCAAATTCAAGAGGGGTTTTTGGTTTAAGATCTTTTACACGTTTCAGGTTTCTGATTTGTTTACAAATTGAACAGAGAATCAAGTACGAAATAGTTTATTTTCAAGTCAAATGACACACTTTTAAAGCAAAGCTAAACAGGGGATTTTAAAGCAGTTTGCAAGGTTACACTTTAAAGCCTTTTATAATTAGCAAGTGTAATTAAGTGTAAATTGCTACCAGGGGTAAGACTTGTCACTGTTTTGAAATATCTATATCATTTATTTCCCCTTATAACTAGAACTATTTCAAGAACCAGGTAAAAGCCCTCATTAATTCTATAAATTACTCTCAAGGGAGTCACTTTTCTTAGCTTAGTTTAGTTCTGTGTGGGAAACTTGGAATGTGTTTGGAAATATCTAAGCCAATATTGATTTTGCTTGAATATCTAACCCTGAGAAACATAGCATTATTTCCTACCAGATAAAATTCTCAACATTAAGTAAATGTAGGCTCACTATGGATCTTTATCTCTGCAGGTAAATACCCCTTCCTCTGGCCCCTTACCTTCTCCAGAATCGCACGCTGCTCCCCGGTAATTTCGGGCATCGGACCGGACATCTTTGGTGCTTTATTATTATTTTTATTCCGCTGATTACGTAGATCTTTTATCCCGGTTTATTGACTGAAATGCTTTGCCAATTTGGTAAGCAAAAAAACACACACTCACTCGAGAGAGAGAGATATGAAGATGAGGCCGAGAAGTGGATTTCTTTTTCGTTCACACGCAAAATTTGAAGCTACGGCTTTTGCCTTGGTTATTTGGTTTTTGGCAGCTGCGCTTCGCCAGCCGAAGAAGAAGAGATAACAATAAAAACTTTCTACTATTATTTAGCCGTTACGTTATACGTTAGCGCCATTTAGCCGCGCACATTTCCATTTCCACTTCCAGCGCAATTATTCTGCGTTTTAGGTTTACTTTTATCTTTTTCTAGGTTTTATTTCGGTAGCGCGGACACTCGAGGCGAGGCAGCTGACTGCCAGGCTAATTACAATAATGCAAACTTGGAAATAACTCAGCTCAACTAACTGGGCCCCCAAGGCGAACGTCGCACGCAAATGGTCGTGGGGTAAAAACACATAAACAAACTGAAACTCAACAACTGAGCGGAGTGTATCTGGCAGATACGTTTGCCTCGCGTCGCGTTCGATTTTAGAATGCTTTTGTTTTCGCATTGATAAAGCGTCGAACCGGTGAGCAGTGATGCTGCTTAAGCCATTTTGTGGCTAAAACTAGACAGTTTCCAGGAGGAAATTGGATTTTTAGTCTTTGTAAATTGGTTCTATATACTTAAAAAACTGTATCGATCATAAGTGATAAATTATTTAAGAAATTACCTTATTCAATTTATAATTATAATTATTATATTATATTAATAACATGATATATTATAATATTAATATAATATTATATAATATAATCTTTTATTATATTATATTATCTACTTTTTTTTAAATTTCAATAATTAAACAATTATTGAATTATTTTTTCAATTGTTAATAAAATAAAATCATAAATGTAGCTACCTTTTCTCCAAAATTCCGGCTGGACTGCCGGTGAGTCTCCTTCTCTCTGCTCTCTGCAGTTTCAATTCCGTTTCGTTTCGTGGGTGGTGGTGAGCTACTTAAAAGTGGATGAACGACAGCCACAGCTCCAAAGAGAGGGAAAAAGAGAGCCGAAGAGATGTGCACTATACACAGTTTTTGAATACCCTTTTTGTTGCTGTGATATACTGACAAAAAAGGATAATTAATATAATTTAATATTGTTTTTAAAATAGGTAAAAGGGATTTATGAAAATTAGTATTAATTTATGCTAACTACAGAATCCTAGTTACTTTTCTAGTTTTATTTTATCTACAAACCCCCTATGAACAAATCAATCTCCACTTGTAAACATCCTTTGTTTGCCTTATCTTTTCAATATTTCCCAATGTATTTACTTTGAACCATCCAGATTAGCTGCCATGGATTATCACAAGAGGGGCTGGCTAGTTTTATGATGGGAGGCACTCACCTGGTCTAATTGTGGCACTGGCAATCAACTGAAGTATTTAGTTATCAACTGATAACAATAGGACATTTTTTATTCGCAATACAAACATCTGTTTGTTTGTTCAGATAAGATAATTAGCTTCAAGTACTCGGACCCCCATTATTTGTTTACCAGTTCCTTAAGCTCAATTTGGAGCTATATTACAGCTTCTAAGATCTAGATACGAATATACGAAAAATCAAAATAGTTATTACATGCTGAAAAGAGGTTCTTAAGAAATGTATTTTTATTTGTAGCTATAATTATCCCAGTATAATGCTAAGCTTTTTGCCTTTTTAATAAGGTTAGTTAATTAATAATAATTAATGGCATTTAATAAAAGATAAATTCATTTTAATGCTTTTTTAATAATAAAACCCAATTATATTCATATATGCAAGCAAAGACAACAACCACAGCATAAGACAGTATAAGACTGTGGTTGTTGTCTTTTCTTGTAGTTCAGCAGTCCGACGTTAATCTAAGACTGGCGCCACTGGAATAAAAAAATGAATATAAGGTTTTATTTTAATTTTGGGAAGTATAATAGTTAGTTTATAAAATTAAAAATATTAAGGTTTTTTAAACTATTAATTTCTTATAATATCTAAAATTTATTAAGTATAATTAAATATGTTTAAATAAACCAAAATTAGTGTGTTTTGGGTTAGTAAAAATTAATTCAAAACTCGGACTTTGAATTGAATATAATAGATAAATACAAAAATTAAAATCCAAATGAATTTCCCCAAAATGACTAGTGATTAAAAAACAGATAATGGAATTCATCTATAATTCATCTCGAATATATCCTGCGGCGCTTTTTAACGACTGTGTGTTTGCCCCGAAATTCACACACCCAATAAGGTTGATTGTGTGTTTTTATAGTCATCGTAGGAGGTGTGAAGACTATTGAGCTCAATGATGTCTGTTTGCCCCCAATTGATTTGTGGGTTTGCACCCGTGAAATGCTGAATGAACTCGGGGATATTCCTCGACTCCGCCTCCGATTCCGCCCCCAATGAGATAGGGTTTGGACCAGGTCCAGGTCCAGTCCAGTCCAGTCCATATGGGAATCGTTCATTCGCAGGCCATCATATCATGGGCGTCGGAATTTACTACCCTGCGTCACAGCGAGCAAGCAAGCACGAAGGAAGATCGAAAAGTTAATAATTCAAAAAGAGACGTGCTCGAAAATAAGTTATATCTGTTTATGAAAACAAACAATGGCCCAGACCAGACCAGACGGACCTCCTCTCCTCCGTGCAGACACCCAGCCAAACCAACCAGTTTCCCGACACATGATAGGCGTAAAATTTTATGAAAATGAAAATGAAATTGATAATAGTCCGAGATCCCGAGATGCCAATTAACGTGATTTTTAATACAATTTGTCGACGTCAATCAGGAATGAGGAGGGGCAGCAGTGTGGGCGGAGGGATTCCTCTATAGCATGTGATAATTTGGCTGAGATTCTGCGCATCCATAATCTCCAGCCCATAATCGCGGAATCGGAATCTGATGGTTTGAAAAACAAATCCCTCCCTGATGGGTCAGAGGTGAGCAAGAGGAAGCGCTGAGTTCACAGCTCATCACATCGTTTTCCAGGGATTTGGGAATCGATTAAATATGCTTTAATTGGGCCAGTCGAGGTCAGCAGTTGTTGAGGGCTGCCTTCATCACTTGGGATACATAATAAGGCTGTGGGAATTACAGGTAATATTGCATATTGGGTGTGTTGAAAAAGGTCTGAGAAAGATGTACTTAATAAGTTTAATATTATTATTTAATTTATTATGAAAATTATAGTGGGGGTTTATTTAGAGAGGTATATCTGTAATAAGAATATGGGTATTTTGTAGATTCCCGTCAGTACCATTCCACTGGGATTCCTCAAGGACTCCTCAAAAATTCAAAAGAAATTTCTCGGGAAATGAATTTTGTTACTGAAGGGATTGTCAGCATCAAGCTTATCATCATTATAGGCTTCTTTGTAATTATTAAAGAACCCTTAAAATCATTAAATTATAGAATTAATTAAATATTAATTAGTCCTAAAGGATAGTTTTATCTCATCATAATAACCTTGAATTGCGCCTCCAAATTGAATACTGGCCAAAAGAAACACTTGTTTGCTGCGTGCCAAACAGTGTTTATTTGAACTACCTCGAGTGTTTATCCATCAATGCCCAGCATACAGGCTTAATTTATTCGATCATTTTATCGTAATCCATAAACTGGGAATTGGAACCCAAACATCAAACGGGCACCCACGAGTCCATGTCCACGTTCACTTCCACTTCCACCGGGAAGCACCGGACTATAACTTTTCTAGACTTCGCACTCTTTTTCGCCGTATGTGGGGGCGTTTTGGCATAAAAAAAGGCGCAGTTCCCGTTAAATACAAATAAATAAAGAAAAAGCCTCCCGAGGTAGAAGCAGACAAAAGACGCAGCAGCCAGTCTATCATCAGCGAGAGATTCTGCGAGAGCTTCTTTTTCGTGGAAAACACTGAACACTGACCACCCATTGGTTAGAGGGGAAAGGTGGTGCTCTGCGGAGGCGGAAATGATCAGTTGAGCGATCCATGTGACGTCACGGAGCCACAAATCGATGACGCAGCCAGCGAATACAGATCCCTGCTAAAAACCCACCAAAAAATAATAAATAAAAGCGAATCGATGACGTTGGCGCCACTTACCGGGCGCACGCCTACGCTGCGTCGTGTGCCCCGCCAGAAATTTGATTATATTTGCACTTTTCGGCCCACCCCTCCCCCTTTGAATTTCCCCCAATTTCCCCCATTTCCCAGCCAGGCGGCAACAGTCTATTTCGGGAGGATTGCACGAGAGTTTATTTCAATCGCCGGGCCAGGTAAACAAACAACACAAAACAAGCGCTGAGTCGAAAATCGAAATTAAAATCACACAGAAGACCCCACACCCGGGATCCCTTAATAATGTTCTATACTTGATGCCGTGACGAAGAGTCTTCCATGGACTGTAATCTTCCAGTGGGTGGAGGATGTGGTTTCCTCTCCCCCAAATGACCACTGAGTGATTGGCAATTTATTACAAAACAATTCAAACTTTCTGTTGAAGCAATATTTCAAATCAGTTTTCCACAGAACTTTGGGCCCAGCCAAGACAAGGGGGCTTTTTTCACTGATGATAAGTTCCTTGAACTCATTGGCTCCCAGTTAATTAATGGCTTCCATCAGGTAAATTATGATTAAGGCCAGTGCTTGATCGGATTCTAGGAATTGTCTTCGATTGGGGTTACTGGGGATACTTTGCTCTAGTTTTTTTTCTCAAATTTATTCAGAAAAGTATGAAGTTTGTAATTGCTGATGTAAATAATATTTAATTTTCTCGCAACGAAAACATTTATACAAACAGTTTTCCACCGAAGATAATGAGTATTAAAAGGGGGTTTTGGATCTGGATCCCGTGATATTGCTGATTGCCTGCTTTACTTTGCTCCAGTTTTTTCTTAAATTTATTCATATCATAACTAAGCCAAAAATGCATTAATTTCGATTCGGAAAGCAGTTTTGTGTTAGTTTTTATTAATTTAAAAAAACTGCATACCAAATTTAAAATTTTAAGAAATCAAAATTTTTGGTCATTTTTGAGAATTTTAATGATGTAACCCCTTATCAAATTTCGCAAAAATGGCCAAAAAATCGATTTCTTCCGGACATGTCCAGAAAGATTCGCCTGTTGATGCTGATCAAGAATATATATGGTTTATGGGGTCGGAAATGATTCCTTGACTTAGAAAAATATTATTTTGTATTTTTTTGATTTTTTTTTTTAATTAAGGGGTTATATACAGTTGTGATAGTCGAAAAAATCGATTTTTTTTTTATTGCATATTCTTAAAGTATATACTGTTGAGAATACTCTCACAAAAATGCATAACGATCAGAGCATTAGAACCGAAGTTGTAGCTATTTATAGCGCACGACCTGCACGTCGGCCGGAACAAACTTGAAACTTTAAACGCGATTATCTCAGAATCGTTTTTTTTCGAAGTTACCTTTCCCGTGGACACGATTACTAAAAAACTATTAATCCGATCGACACCAAATTTTGACCACTTATTTATTATCTCAAAAACTAGTCCGTGAA